CTTCATGTGTCACTGATGGCGGTGCTGTGAGTGGCGTTTTGGTGACGCCATTAGATGAATTCGCTTTCTTGTCGTCCGCTATATAGATTTCATAATCGCAGTATCGGATTGATTGGCACAACATGAGAGAGGCCTATACTCTGCAGTCCGCACGGGCAGGCTGCTGCTGATGTTAATGTTATCCGTTTCGGTTAAACAGCTATTCGATTGAGCAGCTGTATTGAATAAAGTGCTTGCACTCTGACCCTGTTATCACATAGCACGGTATTCTATTTAGTAATTGTACGTCATCGCACAGTTACTTTTATAAATTGCAGCGGTGGTAAGTCATCAAACAATTGTAATTAAGGTATCTTTCACACATTCGCTTTCTCCACATACATCTGGAGTATTTATACACATACGCCGCGCTGGAGGTAATAACCGCAGAGCCTAACCACGAGATTGAAGTAACTAGAATAATAAGAATGGGGTGGAGCACATTCGGCAAGTACTCTCAAATTATGACAGGTAGATTGCCACTATCCCTCAAGAGGAAGGTATACAACAGCTGTATCTTGCCGGTACTTAGCTACGGAGCAGAAACCTGGAGACTTACAAAGGGGGTTCAGCTTAAATTAAGGACGACGCAGCGAGCAATGGAAAGAAAAATGGTAGGTGTAACCTTAAGAGGCAACAAGAGAGCAGAGTGGATTAGGGAACAAACGGGGGTTAAGGATATCATAGCTGAAATAAAGAAGAAGAAATGGACATGGGCAGGGCATGTAGCGCGTAGACAGGATAACCGCTGGTCATTAAGGGTAACTGACTGGATTCCCAGAGAAGGGAAGCGGGTTAGGCGGAGACCGAAGATTAGGTGGGCAGATGAGATTAAGAAGTTTGCGGGTATAAATTGGCAGCAGCAAGCACAGGGTCGGGTTAACTGGCGGAACATGGGAGAGGCCTTTGTCCTGCAGTGGACGTAGTCAGGCTGATGATGATGACACCGCGCTGGAGGGCTCCCAAAATATCGACCATCCAGCGTTATGTAAGGTTTACGGAGATCGAACAGTAGAAGGGCCTCCAGCATTTTGTATCCATCAAAATGCGACCGTCGCACCAGGGTCGCACCTATGACTTCTTGGTCAGCAGTCGAACGCTTAATCACTGTGTCACTGAGCCGGATTTTACACGTACGCTGATGTCACGGTAATGCGGGGGCATAACCTTGCGACTCATTATACATGAATTACTGGTCTTGGCGGTGTTAATACGTCTTGCTTGCCGCTCTAAACGAGTGAACACAGCTTTAAGAACAAAGCAGAATCGACCCCAGGGCTTATTCGCCATAGTTCGCATATAAAGTACGCAGTATTTAAGCCGGACGTATATTTACATTTCAGTCGTAATTGTGTTTACCTTGTGTTGAATGTCTAAAACGTTTCCTACAAACAACCACAACAAAATGATGACTGTTAATTGGTATATTTCACCGAATGATCGTGGCATGCATTATGAGATCATCGAGCGTGCTTCACAGTGCCTTTACATGCATGAATAATCTATTTCCGACTTATCAATTAAAAAAAAGACTCCCCTAATATAGCTTAAATTGTTATAACATGTTCAGCACACTTTCACGTGGTCATTAACTGTTTTACCACCTTAAGAATGAAAATTATTTTATATAATGACCAAAAGAAGGAAGGAAGGAAGGGATAAACTTTATTTTGTATCCGGCGTGTTAGCTAGTGGGCTGGGCCCCCGCCGAGGTGTCGGCTAGAAGGTCTTGCCTCCTAGCGGCTTCCTCGGCCCGCTGGATTGCCCATAGCTGATCGTCCAGGGCTGAACTGAGCAGCACGGCCAGCCAACGCGCGCAGAGGCTGCCGGTAGAGGCCGCGTTCTCATTACTGTGTTTGAATCCCTGGCATTCCCATAGTATATGTTCTAAGGAAGCTCGTGCCTGACAATCTTTGCATTGAGCGGTCGCGTAAATTTCTGGATACATAGCATGTGCTAGCGCTGGATTCCTATAGGATCTGGTTTGTAATTGTCGCCATTGGACAGACTGTGCCCTGTTAAGTTTATGATGAGGAGCGGGGTAAACACACCTCTGTAAGTTATGTTTCGTAGTTTCATTGAACGTCGTCATTCGGTCCTCCAACTCCCACCCACACACTAGGAAATTCTGACGAGGGATCAACATTAGTCGTAGCCCGGAAAGCGAGTCCTCGGGCTACGTTGTGTGCCACCTCGTTAGGGTTGATATCTCCTGTGGTGTCGGGTATGTGAGCTGGGAACCAGAGAATGCGAACGCATCTGTCGTCTTGGTTGGTTTTGCCTGTTTTAAGAATACGCAGTGCTTCAGGGGAGATACTGCCATTTGCAAAGTTGCGTACAGCTGCTTGTGAATATATAACACGCGTCAGTTTATGATATGGACAAAGCTATAGCTATCTCTTCCGCCGCTTTAACGTGTCTCGTGTGCTTTGCCAGATTGGTGCTGCATTGTTTCTTGTGGTTAACCACAGCCGCGACGAAGCAGCTTTTGTGTTTGTAACGAGTGGCATCTACGAAGACCACTTCTTTGTTGTTTCCGTAGCTCTTCGTCATCGTCTTGGCTCTGCTCAGCCGTCTACCATCGTTGTGCGCGGAATGCATGTTTTTAGGTAATGGAGGCACTGTGAGCTTAGCCCGCACGTCACGAGGAATGCCGCATTTGGTGCCGAATTGCGTGGGGTAAGTGATGCCTAATTTTTTCAGAATGCATCTACCAGTCTTGGTTTTAGAGAGGCAAAGCTATTCGCATTTTATAGCAACCCTGAGGGTCCCATTTTGACGCGTGTGTTTAGCGCTACGGCTAGATGATCAGCCAATTACAAGCAGATAAAGGCTTTCCATTTTTATGTATACTTACGACTCACCTAAAATGTCAAGGCTTCAAAAGGGCACGTACTCATAGAACGACAACTCCCCTTCCTTATACCTCCTGTTCAAGCGACAAAAAGGTTGTAGGGCTGCGAGGTATTTCATAATGCATGTATATATAGCGTTAGTATTTGGTTCACGCTATGACAGGCAGAGTTACATTATTATCAGTTGATGTAAATTAGGTGCCTTTCAGCATGGCTGCAGATCACAATTTATCGCCTGCATTAACACAACAGCCTTAAAGAGCCGGTGTTGAAAGAATTTCGGTGTCGACGTCGGCTGTCCCCAGAATCTCGGTGCTCCACCGTAGCTGAATGAAAAGCGCGCACACGCGTGCGCACACACGCACACACGCACACACACACGCACGCACGCACACACGCACGCACACACACACACACGCACGCACGCACACACACGCACGCACGCACGCACGCACACACACGCACGCACGCACGCACGCACGCACGCAAACACGTTTGCGTTGTATCTAAACGCGCAATTTGTTTGTGTTGAAATTCTGTACAAATGATGCCAATATTTTCCAATGCTTGCATATGCGAGTTGATTTCTGGTATACTTATTGACCTGTATATATTGAGTTGTATTTCGACGGTTGATCATGTGTTCGCTAATAATGTATGTAGAACCCCAGGTGGTCGAAATTTCCGAAGTCCTCCAATACGGTGTCTCTCATATTAATATGGTGGTTTTGGGACGTTAAACCCCACATATCAACGTATGCCTTTCTTTTTTTTTTCTACAGTTCTGAGAACTGTATTTTGCTTTCATATTATTGTACATGTCTAGATTAACATTTACCTTGCAATGCTCAATATTGCAATTGTCACCCTGTTATATTCTTTATGGGGAACTGGAGTACTTAGAAATAAACAAACAAATAAAGAAGCACTATTTTACTTCAAATTTCACTTTCTAATGTAATTTGAGACCATTGCTCGTGTTACTGGGCAAAAATGATTGTTTGGAACTCTATGGGGTTCACCTAACATTTGGAGAACAACTATGGGACGTACACCAGTTCCAATACGCCGCCGCTCTGACTTGTCTCAAGTTGTTGGCGAAGGCTAAACCAGAGAGGGCCGTAGTCTTAGACTGATCCACAAGTTATTCATACTGTGATGTTTACGACGGTTCGAGCACTTCCACTACTGTGCAGCGGCGCAGGAAACAGAGAAGGAGACGTGTTCAAACGTTTATATACAAAAGAAAGGATATGAAAAGTCGGTGATATGGGCGCCGTCGGAACGACCACCACGGCACATGAGGAAGAAGAGTCCCGTGGTCTCACTACTCTCGAGCAGGGGTGGCGTTGTCTAGGAGATGCCTGGACCAGCGTGACCTCGGACCTCGTTTCCGAGCTCTTGATCACCGCCCGGGCGTAGCGGTTCCACGTGCGGGTTCTGGCCAGCACAGCACCGTCTGTGCCGTGCTGAAATGCTGCTCGCCACAGCTGCGGTGCAGCAGCTCAGTCACCGGCGTTCCTCGCCTTGGCCAGGGCACAGCCAGGTACCCTCGGGTGCACAGCTCGTGAGCTCGTGGCCCACGTCCGAGTCTGGCGCGTCCCTCGGTACGGCTTGGCACCGCTCGGCGATCCTAGATTCAGCCAGCAACTCCCCTGGCACCTGGATCTTCAGCTACCCTGGACCTCGCCCAGCTCCGTGGTCCTCCGTGCACACGCCCGCGTCTCGCCCGGCAGAACGTCTCGCTCGTCCGAGCTCAGAATTGAACGCCTGGCCCGAACACTGCGAGCGCGCCTCGTGCCACCACGTTCTTCTTTTTTGTCCCTCAGTGCTTGGTGGTCCACGTCGACGTTTTTGCGATATTTACACGTGACATTTTACCCCCCCCCCCCCCACTTTAGAAAGTTTTTTCACTTCGACAACTTTTCTAAGCGTGAGGATAGATAATGTTCACAGTCGGAGACGGGAAAAGTGATGGGGGGTAAAATGATTAAAATCTCGGCACGCGAGTCCAGCTCATCAAGCGCTCGTGCCGAACGTAGAACGTTCGAAGAAGCAGTGAAGCACGTCATCACTAGGGGCCGAGAACGAAGCGTTCGGCTTGCCATGCATCCTAAGGACGTCCCGAAGAAAAAGAGTGGCACTTCTCTGAAGAGAGGGCGCGGCAAGAAGGCACCAGACTCTTCTGCTTCCAAGGATCCTCCTCTGCTCGCGTTACGATTTCCCGAAAAACTGTGGAGGATCGTCAATGATTGCAGATCGGGCGCTATCTCCTGGTCCATGGACGGCTCGGCCATAGCGATTGACTACACGAAGTTCCAGGTTGGCTATCTCGAAAATCACTCCGATATCTTCAAGACAAAAAACATTGCAAGTTTCATCAGACAGCTCAACTTGTATGGATTTCGGAAGATCAGTCCCCCTTGCAGTCTCGACAGCGAGAAGACCGGCCTTCACTTCTTTAGGAACAGATTGTTTGCAAAAGGGCGGCCAGACTTGCTGCCGGAAGTGAATCGCAAGAGTGGGGAGCTGCGGTCCAAGGCACAGAAGCACCATGATTCCTTGTACAAGGCAGCCTTCCAAAACTGCTACTGCGGGCTCATGCAATACCAGGGGTGCCCGCAGTGTCGCAACAAGGTGCCGCGTCACGAATACCGCGAGGAGATGGTCTGCCTGGAGAAATCACCACTCGCTCACTCGTCACTAAGCGCTAAACTACCGGAGAGTTGCACTGACAATACGTGCCACTGCAGTGATATCAGGAGTGAGGACACATCCTTAAACTCGCCAGATTCCACCAGTGAACCGACTACCAGCGATGACAACTGCACAGCCAATGACACCTATAAGGAAGGCTCCGATGGTGACTATCAGACATGTGTCCAACCTCTACCACCTCCCGCGCCTCCTGCCATTGTCTACACTCCGCCGCGACTAGAATCCACAGCGTTGGCCTGGTTGCTAGAGTACTTGCCGGCGTCGCCAAAGCCGCCACCGCAGCGGCGACGGCGGCGGCGTCGTGTGTGCCCTGTCATCCAACCTGAGGACACCATGCAGCCCAACTGCGACATTAAAACCTTGCTTGACCCCAACGAGTCACCTAAGGTAGTGCTGCGCCACTTGGGGCGCGATGAGGAGCTTGTCCGCACACCACCGATCGAGGATTTATTCTCGCTTAATGACCACGTCCGTGACGCTGAAACAACAGACATAGGCAGCCTCTGCTGCATCTTCGCCACCGAGGACGTCTCCATTGATGTGGTCGAGCCAGTCGCAGCAGCGTACATCCCCAGCCCGGGCATAGCAGTTCCACGTGCGGGTTCTGGCTAATAGAGCACCGTCTGTGCCGTGCTGAAATGTTGCTCTCCACGGCTGCGGTGCGGAAGCTCAGTCAGCGGCGTTCCTCGCCTTGGCCAGGGCACCGCCAAGTACCCTCAGGTGCACAGCTCGTGAGCTCGCGGCCCACGTCCGAGTCTGGCGCGTCGCTTGGTACGGTTCGGCACCGCTCGATTCAGCCAGCAACTCCCCTGGCACCTGGATTCTCGGCCACCCTGGACCTTGCACGGCTCCGTGGTCCTCCGTACACACGCCCGCGTCTCGCCCGGCAGGCCGTCTCGCTCGTCCAAGCTCAGAATTGCACGCCTGGCCCGAACACTGCGAGCGCGTCTCGTGCCACCGTGCCACCGTGCCACCGCGTTCTTCTTTTTGTCCCTCAGTGCTCGGTGGTCCGCGTCGACGTTTTTGCGATATTGACACGTGACATATACCCTACTATGCCTGGAACTCATGAAGTCCTTATCATATTGACGCTGTACTCTAGAAGGAAGAATCGAAAATACAATAGAGCAAGTTGTACCGTTATTTTACTGCTTAGTCTAAAGCTTAGCACAATGCCGAGGGCAACCCTTCTGCAGCAAACACCACTGCGTTAAACGTGGTCGACAGATGCACAGTCATATCCACAGGCCACCGAATTTCAATGTCACGTGATCGTGACGTCTACAAAGGCAGCAGTTGGCGTGTTGAAGACCAAACATTTTTTTAGTGGGGGGGGGGGGGACAATATTATATAAACAAAATATATTATGTCAGGAGATCATTTATTTTATCACCCCCCCCTCCCTTTTATTTTTGGCTATATGATCATTACCGGCCATGTCTGTTGCCGCCTCTAAACGTTTCGCGCACGGTTAAAGAATGACATGATATTGCAATATTGCGATGCAAATAATTGCGAACAGTGCGGTCCCTACGCGCTCCGCTGTTCGCTTTTCTTTTCAAGTTGTTGTAACCTGGATAGAAATAAATAGATACTGAAGCCATCGATGACAAATCTAAGAACAACTCTGCATCTTTTTACGGCCACCAACAACGTAAGTGTACGATGTAAACAAATGCAAATCGCGGAAGACAACGCGCCACTGTCTGTTCGCGTGTCTTTCCAACCTATCTGTATGGTGGAATGTACAAGAAAGGTAGAACTGGAATCTAAATTGAGAGTCACGTTCGATGACTTACACACTTTTTAGCCCTTCCAATGTGTCCCGAATATCACTATAAAACGCATTATCATCAAAGCCTATCATATAGAATAGGCAGGTGCCACTTAGAGGCATAGGCAGTACAAGAATATGGTATCTTAAGCTGATCATTTATTACATGCAATACTCTTACTAAACAAACATCCCCCACCCCCCCACACACACACAACACGTAAACATGTGGAACTAGGCAAATTTATTTTTACACCTGTGAAAATGCAAGCTATGAAATTTTATAGAAGTTTACCCACTTACGTGACTCAAGTTTCATAGCGCAGTTCATGGAAAACATGACACTATATACAAAGACGCTTACTTTGATATAAATATTATGCACCCTCGCGCAACAACTAAAATCACAACAGTATGCCCCCGCTTGAGGCAAACATTCTTTTAACGTATACGCAGCACTCTAGCGACACGCTTACAACAAGGGAACGAAAAATGGACGCTTCATTTTGAGAATCCCAAGTGCATCGCCTTCCTGAAAAATCCGGGGCCTTCCCAGTAGCCCCTGCAAGAAAAAAAAAATAGGTGGTCACATGTTATTCCGATACAGTAGAAACAATCGGCGATAAAGACGGGTAGCTCAGTAAACTCTTATAAGAGCAACTGGCTGCCGTGTCTTAAGATTAAAAGATGACATATACAGACACCAACCAGCACCCTAACCAAGAAATCAACGAAAAAAGAAGAAAATACAGTACAGTCTTACGATAATCCACCTCCGCCATTCCCCCTCCCCCTTCTTACAAAGACAATGTGATCCTTTATTTCGGAAACACCACTTGAGTACATTGCCTGTTGCCCTTAGCTATTAAACTGAGTTATAACTTTGCGGAGGGTGGAACACAAGTAACAGTAGACAAGACGAACGCGGACTAACAAAGAGCTGTTGCTGGTCAATGCTCGACTATAGTCTGTCTTGTGTTCTGTCCTCTGCACAGTTTTAACTGAGTTGCAATGCCGTGCCAACTAGCCCCTCAACGCATTTTACTTGCGTCCCTAGGATTTTTTTTAATAACTCGACCGCTTTTATTATATTTATGTATTTACTAGACCATCCCGACTTGGCTAGATCCGTTGGGATAGTTGCGTTGAAGGGCTAGTTGGCACGGCATTGTAACTCAGTTAAAACTGTGCAGAGTACAGAACACAAGACGTAGACTAGACGAGACACATTTCCCGAGTTGAACGATCTATTCTATGCTAAAACCTGTCACCACTTAGCAAGCTTTTGTGATGGCCAGGAAAGCTGACTGGTGAGTATAGAAATGAGTCCATAGAGATTCACTCACTTCAAGAATAGATTCCAGTAGATGAAGGGAAGCATGTCCCTCTTCATGTAGAACATGCTGGTGCGCTCTTTGGCCTGGTTGAATGGAAAAGTTTCGAGTGGTTCCGCTTTAGAGTCGAACTCTGCCAGGATGCACTTGTCGTAGCTGGTCACCAGCGGACATGACGTGTAGCCATTGTACTGCGGCGCAACAAACCACAGATACAAATGAACGAATATTGGCAGGTATTGTGGTCGAACACAATGATATCATGAGTCATTTACCGACTTCGGATATTTATGCAGGACAATGGTCCCTAACGAGTGATTCCCAAAGACATTTATCTATATTAAGGACGATATAGCCAAATAAGATATTTCTATTTCTTTCCTGCTGCCTCTGTAACTTCACTTTGCATTGGCTTTTATTACGTGGGATTCAAGTATGGCGGTGTTATATACGGTAGTGCACGATGAAGCAGTCTCTATGCTACTGCATTCGTGACCGTATCTGCAGCAGAAGTTTTTTTTTGTTAACCAAGCTCCGTATCCGTTACAGCATTTACTTTCAATAAGGTTTCACATATTGAATACTTCACTGTGCATCGAAACAATCATTTAATATTGTTACAGCGAGAGATGTTAATTCTACGGGGCGAATGTGATAGATGGTTGCGGAAAGCTTAGCCGAGCTAGAATCCGTGGGCACTTCCTTCTCCTCTTCCACATTTTGTCCAAAGTACAAAGTAGGCTATCACTACGTTGATCGAGCCTGCACACAATATTTACTGTTAAAGCTGATTAGAGACTGAAAAAAAACACTCTGCTCTTAAAGAAATCTTTGATAGCATTCAATCAATTACAAAAATGTCAATGAGGTTCCTGTAAGTACTCTGCGAGTTATCATGGCGGCTTCTGCGAGAAATTCTTCTAACACAGCTCCTGTCGCAAAGACGCCAGCGAAGGGTTGCACAATTAAAAGTGAACAGGAAATCAATCAATCAATCAATCAATCAATCAATCTGTTTTTGTTTCGAATAGTAGAAACCACAAGGGGCCACAGAAACTGCTATCACAAGTGACTTAACAGGCCTGCCATTTCCATGATCCCAGGTGAAGAAAATATATCTAAACAAAATCAGTGTTTTTTTTTAGCATAAATGTACTGTACCCGTAGATGCACCAGCCACTTTGCCATAACTCATAAGACGACTTTAATTGTCAGGCCGCTGTGGTAGCTCAGTGGTTAGAGCATCGAACGCGTTATTCGACTTTAATTGTCTTTTCAGGATGCGACTAAAAAGCATGCCCCTGCATCTCAGCACTTCTCTCGCGTACCTTTTTGGTAGGTGCCTTGCCTTCCATCACGTTTGTGAGGTTTTTGCGCAGTATCCCGAGCTCTCCAGCTGTAAAGAAAGCCATAATAGAGAAAATATATTCTATCGAAACAAACGAACAAACAAACAAAGAGCGAGAGCGCTTCATGCACCTTACTCTACGTTTTCTTTTGGTTATGATGTGCCCAAATATTTCTACCTCACGAAGCATGACACCATTTTTTAATCAAACTGAAATCTCCAAAATATACAAATACTGCCTTTTGAGTGGCTGAAAATTAGCACTCATTATATAAATTGGCCGCAGTGTAAATGAGTCTTTTTCGAAAAGCACTACTACTAAATGATGCATGGTATCCCAAAATTGAAAATAAATACAATGAAGACATGCAAAAGCGATGTGACATTTTTCTTCGAAGAATCAAAATATTAATAATAATTACGGCATATGCTTTATTCAAGTAATTTTCTCTAGATACTTCATGAAAATATTTTGATAAAAAATTACAAAATATTCTCGTATCTTGATTTTAATGAACTAAGACAAAGCTTTTAAGGCCGACGAAGATAGTGAAAAAACTGCATTTGTGTGGCACACGCATAATTTTAACACAAATTAACCAATTGCAGCTAAGGTAAAGAAAAAAACAGCATATCCACAGGCTGAAGCATCCATCCGTCCATTTATTTTTTGGTCGATCTGTCCGTCCGTGCCTCTGCCCGTCTGTCTGTCTGCACGTCCGTCCGTCTAAAGGACACTCTAAGTACCACCACCTCACATTTTTTCATCATATATTGATTATGTACAGGTACCGCCATCTAGCGGATATTACGAGAACTAAACGAGATATTGTTATCTACTACATACATCGAGGACGCACGAACCATGGCTCAAAGGGCAACTCACCAGGTTTGAAAATTTTGAGCTAACAAGCGCAATGTGTAGACGAGGCGTTCATGATCATGCTTGCCAAAATTTGCAACGCTACGCACCGCGGAAATGGGCCAAATTTCAAGATGAACGCTGCTCCCCCTCCCTTCTGCCGGCGCACGCCCAGAGAATGAGGGCATGACGTGCGCGTATAAATGGCCTTACGTACACGGCAAAGCAGTGACGTTGGTCCTCTACGTAAACGACTCTGCTCTGACGTTGCAAACAGTGGCACGTGACATGGCAAAAATGATTTACTACGGCATGCTTTGTTTATGTAATTTGTTGCTTGAAGAGATTAATAAAACTCAAGATGAATAATGAGACGCAATAACGAAATGTGAGCGTCTTTTTTACATTTTTCTCCTGTGAATTGCAACGAGATGCGGGGCTAATGTGTCGGCGTTTCGCGTGCGTTTGTGCCCCCCCCCCCCCCCGGTCAGCCGTCGAGCAGACGATTGCCCTGGAACGCTCCTATGCGTTCGCGCACTCATTGTGCTTACCTATTCTACCGCGCTAAGACAGCGTTTCCAATCCTTCCCCACCGGAGACGGTGGGTAAAAGATTTGGCTTGCGAAGGCTACGCGGAGGAGCGGCAAGGGTTTCGAGCTCGCCTCCTCTCATCCTCGTCTGGCCCCGCTCCAAAAAAAAAAAGAAAACCTGTTTTCTCCGCTGGAGATGAGCAAATTAAAAAAAATTTGTGGCAAAATGTTCCTCATCGGACACCCAACAACTTCTACTGTCCAACTAAAATTTGGTATGGGGCCTCGTGAGTAACCATTTAAGGGGCTTCGCCCTTAAGTCTATCCACTGGCACATACCCGCTCTCTCGGGTATGTGCCACCAATGGTTACAAACAGGTATGTGCCACCGGTGGTTACAAACGATAAATGGACCAACGGGTGACGTCCTAAGGAGCTTCGCCCACAGAAAGAAAAATATTTTAGGCATATTATTAATTAAGCAAAGCTCTTGTTTTTTTTTTGTAGTAGACTTGGCCGCAGTACAAGTATTTATGCAGTGCAGCATACACAATTTATTGTGCTTACGCAAAGTTTCGCAGTGAAACATATAAAAGAAAATTATCAACGTGAAGCAGTTACTGAATATAGCACAAGTTTATAATATTCGAAGACAAGCACCATGTACAGCCATGGTCAGAAAACTTCAATGTCTAATAAGTAGCTGGCAGTGCATCAGCCTTGTACTGCCAGTGTAGCCGGCGCCCTTTCTATGAGCCCATGACAAAGCCCAAGTGAACGTCGCTTACTTAGTTCAAATCACACGCGCGAAAGCACCACCTCCGGTGATGTTGTAAGCTTTGAGGCGTCTAAGATACCTTCTCACAGACAGTTGATGACATTATTGAGATAGCAATTATATATACAGTCTCAGCTGGTTTTTGCCGTTGCCGCCGGCATCGTTGACACACATACACACACACAATATATATATATATATATATATATATATATATATACACGCCTTTCTGGCCGTAGTCGTCTGCACGTGTGTTTATTTCGTAAACAAACGAGGATTGCCACACTATCGCGACATCAATCAGCGCGCGGCTTTTGCCCCCCCAGCAGGCGGGAGCTTCTACGAGAAGCTACGGGCTGCGCTTTCACAAAAAGAAAATGCAGCCAAAAATGTATCTGGAGCGGCCGTCTACAAAAAGATGCGCTCTACACATAACAAACTGCCACCAGCGGCGACACATGACGTATAGCCCTTAGTACCAGCATGCGCTGCCCACGGTAGGCGCTTCTCGTCAATGCCGTCCCTACGCATAAGCCTTGTGGTTATCTACTGTGGCCGCGCCACAGGAAACTTAGTTACTCATCAAGCGCATGTTTAATACAATCAATATTGCTCCTAAAAATGCTAGCCTTGCTTTGTAAAACATTCGAATATCTTGCTATCACATTTATTGCCTCGCCTTTTTGGCGAAACTGTGACGTTTTCATGTCGTGGATGTGATCGTTAAGTCCCCAAATCAAACTTGCGCGTGCAAGGTACAACACTTCGTAGTGTGCTTGCTGAACTAAATGCTCAAAATGGGACGAAGCCTCTGCCCATTCATAATTGGATACGCGTCCTAAACATTTTACTGGTTATAAGGAAAGGGTGTGCACAAATCGTTGAGCAAAAGAAGGGCTTGGATCATCACAGAAGCCTCGTAAAAAATAGCTCTGAAAATTTGGGAGTATTCGTCTCGGCTCACACCCTTATAAATCGAGGCACAATAGCTTTGGTCATAGGTGATAAAAGCACACTTGCCTAATAGTATTAATAATCAAATAGGATGTATGGTCCACGCAAATGTTCCTAATTTCCACTTTTGGTATGCGCAAGTAGGTTTCACCGCAATTTTAAAAGCACGTTTTGCTGTTTGGCCTAACTGTAGCGCGGCAAAGCCCACCTAAAATTGTGTAGTATGTTGAATTGTTACGCGCGTTGGTTTTGTTATTTCTACGTGACCAGGCTTCACATTAAAAACTGCACTTACACCTGTAACCACATGGTACGATTCAAGTCAGAATGTATGGCACCCCTCGGGATTGTTTTAGAGAGCTCCGGTAAGATTGAGCACATGAGACAGTCAGGTTAGTTTATTCTGCACACTACGAATGCACCAATAATAACGCTGGAATGTTCAACAAGGCATCCACAAAAACCAACGTCTTTCTTTGGCAATCGCATTATCGACAATATACGAGTGAAAGCGCTCACTGTTGTAAGTGTTCAAACAGTGCTGCTTGTATTCTGCTTTGTTTTTTTCATGGCATAAGTTCACCAAATGAACAGTTCAGTTTTTACAACTCTCACTGCCGTCATTTTCACTGTTGTGACCACGTGACTACAAATAGGACCATTTCCGTCAGTGATACCTGTGACAGACGCTATTATTGATCAATATTTGAACATAAACTTAGTTTTTGTGGTAGCTAATATGCTTTGCAGCAAAGCCATGCTAACACACAAATACACGTATCCCACGTTTTTCTTTTTTCTTTTTCAAGCGCCTCGTGTAAATTGAGGTGTGTTGCAAAAGCGGACAGTTACAAAAGCAGAAAAAAGAAACTGTCCCCCACCTTTTTTTTGTGGAAGCTTCATTTTGATTCGCGATTTCTGCAGTGTGTTTCGCAGGTGCCAGCAGAGCTATAATATTGTTGGTAACGAACACCATGTGAACACCTTGACAACGTTCGAGGCATTAGCATGCACTCCATTAAACCTGTAAGTTTGTTTGCGAAAATTGCTGGCTCAAGTAACAACATCTGGCTGCAACAGGAAACGTAGCAAATGCGTATCTGGGAAGAAATTATTTCAGTGGGCCATTTAGCATTGTTGCATTATTCTCAAGTTAGTGCCCTGATTTTTTCAATTTAAAATATAGGAACGAGTAAGTACTGTATTGTGATCACAGATTTGCCTAGATATCAGATTCTCCAACGCGCGCCCGTACAATATTGAATAAAAACAGTTAAGCACAGGAACTTCGTCTGCGCTGTTGTGAAAGTCAAATTTCGCGCTCTAAGCGCGATGAATTTATAAACTTAGATTTTGGGGTTTCGAGTGCCGAATCTAAGATATGATTACAATGCACGACGTAATGGCTGTCACTGGATTAATTTTGACCACCTGCAAATTTCAGTGTCATACAATTGTGGTTGCCATCGTCGGGAATCAAACCCGCACCTTTGTGGCCACTAAAGCATAGCAGCTATATCATCACGGTGAATAACATATTTCTATCAAGACTACAAGGCCTTACCGTTGATACAGTTTACTCAGTGTGGCTTGATTCCGCACATTTGGCATCCATTTTTTATACTGAATTCAGTCAAAAATAACCCTATAGAGACCACCGTATATATAGTGTCGACGTCGGCAGTTAAATCTATGCGAACAAATAAACAAAATAAATCATCCGAACAAATTCGTCAGCAAATAAGCGCCATAGATGCAATAAGACTGACCAACCGCGGCAGCTGTTTTGGACGTGGGAATGTTGGTGCAGTCGCCAATGCCGAACACGTTGGCGTAGCGCTTGTGCTGCAGCGTCTCGCCATCGATGTCTAGGTATCCGGCATTGTCGGTGAACGAGGGTGCCGTCTTGAGCACAGCCGAGGGCGTCATCGGGGGCACCACGTGCAGCATGTTGTACTGCACATCGGTGACGAGAAGATATACGTATGACAGCATTTGTTCGCAGTTGCTACTGAGACTCGTACGAACACTCGTAAAAGTATGAAAGCGCTAAGTAGTTATAGACACGTTACAAAATGTAACGGCACGCAGACGTGCCGACTGAGTTGCCCGGTTGCTTTCAAGAGTTGAATAATGAAATATAAGTCTAAAGCCGATTAGGAATACGTGCGAAAAGCCGTGAGTGACGACTAAGAGAAACAAAATGGCACAACTGACAAGACTGGCGGCAAACTTCAGATAAGAGCAGCCTATTTTTAGTGGGCTATACCATGGCCATTTCCGTTCGGCAGGTCTCACACGACAACAGGTGTCCCTGTAAAAACGCTGCATATTCTTTCAACAGCCGCTTTCTTGCTGATTGATTGATATGTGGGGTTTAACGTCCCCAAACCACCATATGATTAAGAGAGACACCATAGTGGAGGGCTTCGGAAATTTCGACCACGTAGGGTTCTTTAACGTGCACCCAAATCTGAGTATATGGGCTTATATTTCCTCGCCTCCATCGCAAATACAGCCGCCGCGCCGCTTTCTTGCTCTCTTCGCGGTGTCTCTAACTGTTAAGTAGCGCGAACTTCAGGGTCGAGAGAGAGAGAGAATGCGAGCACAAACAAGCACCTTGCTAAGCTATACGTTTCCAATCAGTTGAACTCCTGACGGTCAGCGCACATAAGACACAAAGGGCAAGAAAGCACATGACTCAAGCGCTATCTATCAAGTTAAAGTTCAACAGAAAAAGTGGCAAAATTAAACATAAAGGGAAAACACTAGAAAAACCTCACAATCCCTGAACAAGCTTCTAATCACATAAGTTGTAGATACAAAATTTTAGCGTTAGTGAGACTTATTTGTGCCTCGTATTTGCAACGATTTTGTCTGATGATGATATGTGAGATTTAACATCTCAAAATCAACGTATTATTATGAGAGACGCCGTAGTAGAGGGCTCCAGAAGTTTGGAACACCTGGGTTTCTTCAACATGCACCAAAATCTGAGCCCACTGGCCTACAGCATTTTCGCCTCCATATAAAATGCAGCCACTGCAGCCGAGAATCGATCCCGCGACCTGCAAGTCAGCAGCCTAGTATTTTAGGCACAAGACAGCCGCTGTGGGGCACGATTTTGTTCTTCCCAGCTGTGCAACCACGCTGCCAGCAAAAGAAAAAACAATGCACAGAGGGCTTCATCAAGCGGTGCGACGCACTATGTAGATATGGGGCAACGCTGATCTTTTCCCTCCTATCGAAGGGCAAAACCACTGCACCTACACACTTTTTTCGTTACCGCCTCAAGCGTTGTAGCAATCGCTGCCAAATGGAGGCCAGAACCAAGAGCTAAATACTAGCCGCTTCCAAACTGTCAGCGTGGCATAGAAGAACTCACGTACAACATATAGACTTACGTTGTGTATGTGTCTTTAAAGCTGAACCAAGACGAGATGTGGGCTACTCATCATTTACAATCTTTAATTTGGCTGAACGGTAACCTAAAGGTGGTTTCGCAGAGCGGGTGGGAATAAAACCAGTCAACATGATCCCTCCGTATCCGTAAATGAAATATCTAGGCATTGCAAAACGTTGTCCATTGCGTCTTCAGACGTAAAGCTTACATTTTTGCCCCAATGCTGGAACATACCCAACCACGTAAAATCAGTACAATTGGCAAGCACCAGGTAGATGTCCACGTATCTGAAAACGTGTCGTGTAATATCCTCAAAATTTCGTTCAAGGGCTCCGTCTACATTTCCAAGGAAATACAGATTTCTGGCTCCTGTACATACAGACCCTCTCCAAATGAGACAACTGTTGAGTGTAAGTAAAATCACAGAATTTCTAGGAAGCTTTCCGCAGAAATACCAACACTACTGCGAAGCACAAGTCACGATAAAGGGGAACGTAGCGAGGGCTTTTCTTCGATACCTCGCTGAAGCAGAGCGCCTGTCTCGTTCGTCCTCATTAAACCACAACACAATTTCATCTATTTCGGATGGTAGTAACCAAAAAAGAATGTAATTAAGCTAATTCAAAGTTAACTTAAGGTTAACATCAACAAATCACAGTGCTGTGTTCAGGGGCGCCATTGTGCTCTGGCTAATTCAATCATGGTTACACCTAGGTGTGCCGGGTATGCATTTGTGCCTCTTGTTGATGATACTAGAAATAAATTCTGGTCATGATGTTATGAACATGAAACGAATATTTTCATCCCCTGTCACGAAGACTGAATGTACTTACTTTGAACGTGACCATCTCTTTCGGATTGGCCGTGCTGTCTAGCAGGCGGAAGATGGCCTGCCTTTTGTTCGGCAGCACCTGGACCAACTCGTGCTTCAGATTTACGGTGATTCCACGTCCTTTTACTACATCCCAGAGGGCATCGGCGTACTTTCGCACACCGAAGATGACACCCATGGATGAATTGAAGATGATGTCTACCTTGTCGCGTCGACCTTCCTGAGCAGAAAATAGAAAAAAAAAACGAAGAATATTACTTAAGCTTTACGATGGTGCAAGCGCAGTTGGTGGAATGGTCAAATTAAGGAAGCAAAAGTTAAGTACCACGTATGAGTCATACCTAACGTGGAGAAAACTATAAAAGAACAGACTGTTTCATGGACAAGATTTACACACATTTAGTGTGGATCACCTCAGTTGAGCATGATTATTAGCTAGCGTCACGTTTAATCAGCCCTGGATTGATTGAATAACAGTGACGTATAGCATTACTGTGTTTACCTTATACATAGGTTGTGCACTTCATTTATCAATGCTACATTGTGCGCACAGTGTACGTTCTGTATCCACTCCATGATGCACCATGCTGTTACGCTAATCCGCACATGTGACCTTGCCCTAAAAATGACGTCGCGAAACGCTTTGGTAGGGTCTCTACAGGCCATTGTTGATACCTCAAAGCTACGCCCCCTTACCAAAACGGCAGAAGGCAGCACACGAACATGAATAAGGCGGATTTGTTCTGGCTGCGAGCTACGTTAAGCTCGAACCATCACAAAGCGAGTCTAAGATGTGGAAAGACATATTCTCAGTCTACCTTTCCAGCCTCCCGAAGATAGAGTGGAGTTGATATGCCACAAGAACACACAAGGCATCTTCCACAAACGCATTTACTTTCAGTATAAATACAAGTAAGCTTGACGCCACTTACCCGACCACACGGAATCACAAAGGAAGACATAGACAGTGTTCCTCCTACCTATGTGTTCATTCCCTTGTGTCTCTGTGTATAGTGATGGTTTTTGGCACCAATTTTATCATTCATACTATACATGCCCTAACTATAGCTTCACAACGAGTTCTCATTAAAATCAAAGTTGGGCTAGAAAAGGAAGCAGCGAGTCACACTGCCATTTACTTTCCATTCAGTGACACGTGTGCGCAAAGCTGCCACACTGCACCAGGGGGTCGCAGTGTAAAGATGGCCAAACTTTTCAGCTTCACGTAAATACATCGCAATGCGAATGGGAAGGACATGTGACAGACACTGAAAAAGAGTATGAAAACTGAGCACGCACTTTTCGGAGGTACGCATCGGTGAGGTACATTATCTTCTGCGCCGCACCGGGACACTTGATGGGCGTGGCCGGGTAGGTGAAGATGGCGTTGCCTTCCTTCAGCGCCTGCATCACCTTGTACGTCTTGGTGACGGTGTTGTACGAGTAGTTGGAACACACGTAGGGTGTCTCTAACGCTTCCATCAGGCCTTCAATCTGGGTGACGTCAGCAAAGAGTAGTAAAGAGCTTCAAACAACTTAGCAGCGCAAACAAAACGGCCAAATGAATTCAGAAAGAGAAGCAACTAGGCCGAGCAAAAGTCGTAGACGCATTTCAAACGTTCAGTAGGCGTAAGATGCGACGTTCCTGATTTGAGAAATCCCGTAGCCTGACTTCATAGTCAGCAAAAATGAGCTGTAAGTATAATACATACTACTTGTGCAGGATATTTAACATACACTGAATGTTTTAAATGATCTGTAGGCCTACAGTGAAATATCCAGGACAGAGACCTTTCAACTTCGTATACGTTTCTAAATAGCATAGAAGCGTGGCTGTTCATAGGTGCCATAACATAACATACTGCTCTATGATGCATGCGAACATCTCATGACCAACTCCTTCGGCCTTCACGTGATTTCAGCAAAGCCATAAATCAGTGGGGAATTATGGATAAGTACAAAACAAGGAATTCACCAAGATCTTACCATGTCAAACCGCACTTGGATCCCCATTGCCACTACGAGGAAGTCGTACTTGATCTAAAAGAAACGAGATAAAAAAAAGCAAAACCGGTAGAACAGGTGTGATAAGTAAGCCAACACAGCCGGTGACTTTCCGAATTACGTACTTTAATTTCAGCTATATTGGACGAATAATGTAAAAATTCCGCAAAACGTATCTTCATAAACAGCCATTATCTTTCATTTATGAGTAAATCAATAGAAGTGTGGAGCTGTTTTCCTGACATTTCTAAGACAACAACAATGAAACACAACAGCGTATGTGGAAAATGAAGAAAAAATCTATCACATTACAAAAGGAAGAAAAATTATGAAGCATTTTCACAAAGGGAACCCTGATATTATGCGAAGCAACAGCGGTGGTGCACACGGCGTTGATCCGGTCGGAACGGACGTCGACGCAGGCGCTGGAAGAACAGTTTGACGCGAAACTCGGTGTAGTGTTTACTCGAGCGAACATTCGTGTGAAACGCAAAGACACGGGAGGCGGGTTGGGATTCCTGCGTGCTTCATCGCAGAAAGACTATTCGCTCGATGTGAGCTCGAACGTTGCGAGCAGTAGAGAGGGTCAAGCGAGAAAGATGACACGAGGCAAGCGGCGACGGGCTCGGGAGGGAGTGACGTTAACGCGTGCGCACTGCGAGAAAAGACGTGGCCTACTTGGCAGTGGCCCAACACCTGCGACCAGGGGAGTGCGGTGCAGACGGAGGGACAACGTTACACAAGTTAGTCAAAAAGCTGCTTCGCATATAAAAAAAGAAAATTGGTCATGAAAGAAGACGGTGAAGCTTGCAATTGCGGCCAATGCATTGAACATACTACATGAAACTGTAAAATCTGAAAATATGGGGATGAGAACCAACTAAGACAAGTAAAGTGTCAGGAATTGAAATAAAGTTTATGCGAAAATATCACTGCTAATATAAATGCATATGAATAAAATGATAAGAATAAAAGTACACCTCCTGCGTTCTGTTGTTGCAAAAAAGAAAAAAAAACACAGTACAGTGGAACCTCATTCGCACGAATTATACGCGTAGGTTACTGGAAAATAAAGCGTATCATTAGATTATAGCGCTATCTAAAACGAGGTCTAAAATGTATGAAAACAGGTCAGGTGCGTAGCCGGAATTTTTTTCGAGGGAAGTTCAATGGACCTCTGTGCACGCATGTGTTTGCACGTGTTGATACGTTTGCACTCGAAAATTCAGATATTCCATGAGACGAAGGGAAGGGGGTATTTCGTGTCAAAGGATCACGTGAAATCATGTGATAACGACTGCTCCACATAACGCACAATGCGGAGCAGCATTACTCGGCGCCGAATCTGCAATGGTATGGCTAGTGTATCATGCTGTGGGCCATCGGCAGGTTGGGCAGGTTAGTTAACGCCAGAACACTGGAACATAAAGCTACTGTTAAGAGGTTTTTATTAGTAGAGGATGCAAGAAAACGGACAGTGGTCAGCATCATTCAGCCAAGCGCAGCAACCATCACCTCATGCTGATGGCGATTACGTTGCGGAAAAGAGTGGTTCCGCTGAGGCCACATTTATTCACTATGCTATAGATTTTACAAACAAGCCTGAGAGGCCACTTCTGCGTTCGCGTCATGTAATTTACGTCAAAACATGATCACATTATCCACTTCAAACTTCATTGCGCATATATGTGACGTGAGCCAGGAAAAAAATAGCTAAAAGAACGTATCACACATAATTGTGTCAGTGATGCCACTATTATTATCACTATACTGGCCCATCGCACACTGAAGAACTAGTGCGATTGTCAGGCGATGGTGCAAGAGTAAGCTAAGTATTTAAATGACAAAAAAAGCACACACTGTGTGACTACAGGCGCTTATGTCCATAAAAGTGCATTTAATATTCATTTGGTACGTGAGCAGCATTAAGTTTACACCATCATTACAGACGCTGTGCAGTTAGCTTTTGCGTACATAGATATCTGAACTCTGGGGCACATACATCTGTATCTTCTAGCTGTACACTTTTTGCATCATTTGGGTATGTAATTACGCCGTCTCCTGTCCCTCTCCAATGTGATGCAGTCAGGTTGTCCGAGTGCATAAATCAATAGAGCACACTTTTATCTTACGAGTTGGGCTGAATGTGAGGCAATCTAATCCTGTACCTTGATTCCATGCTTGGTAACCACCGTGTTCTCTTGCGGCGCAAAGGTCTCGGCCTGGTCCTGTATCCATTCGGCCTGGCTGGGCATTACATCAGACATGGGCTTGGAGGAGCTGGACACTTGCTTGATGCCACCGCCGACCAGCGTCCACAGGGGTTGGTAGCAGTGCGTCTTGAAATGAAGAATAAACAAAGACAGAGGACGAGAAATATGTTTTTTTCGTATACACCTCTTAGCCACGCAGTTCAGGAGCACGTTGAGTGATGGAAATAATAAGCGAAGTCATTCGCAAATGCTGGCTACTCATGTAAATGAGATAATTGCCTGCCGCAAAAATAGGTGTCCAATTAAGTGTATTTGCCTCAATGCGCATTGACTTTAAGACACTCGACCAATATGTACAATGCGAAGGCATGAAAACTACCAGCACCGTGGTGTTCACATCTTATTGGAGATGTTAGATCATATTTTTAAGCATATTTGCTGCTATAGGCACTATTTCCTTTAGTGTGGAAAATTTGGCGTGACGGAATAGAAGCAGTGCGCAAAATACAGTGCTGTTATTTAGTGTACAGCAACCACTTAGCACAGGAAAAAGTAATATTTGTCATCGTTTTGTGGAACTCGGGTGTTCTGTATGCATACCAGTCAGTCACGCGTTATAGTTCAGCTTCCAGTTCTGTTTTGTAATAGCTGTACACTATGCTACATTCAAGTCGTTAACAGACTTAATCGGCGTCTTCAGTAGCCATGTATCTTTCAGCTACGCACACTTGTGTGCACGCAGATTTTCGACCGGCCAAAACAGTTTTCTTACATCGCGGGGCTCGAGCACGCCGACTCTTCCCTTGCCAAGCTTGGATGCGAACTTCGCGGCCGTGGCGATGCCGCCTGATCCACCACCGACAACAAGTAGCTTGTAGCTTCGTTCTCCGGCTGCCTTGGAGGAGCACAGCCGGACTTGGCGCATAAAGCGCCTGAGGCAGGAGCGATGCATCATCTGCGAAAGAAAAAAAATCTTTCACCGCAAGCACGAAGTTGTCAATGCGATAAAACAAACTGCAATGACGTACTACTAAATTACATTCTAAGGAAAGATGGAGCAAAAAGGTCATGTTTGTGGCTCACAATAATGACCATAATCTGGCTAGCTGGAGTTTACCGTCTTGAAAATTAGGCACTCGGTACTTTATTATCGGGAATGCCATGTCCCTCTGAGATTGCGCATGCGTTTAGTGGCAAGGAAACAGCGGGCACGTGACTGTAATGCAAGAAATGATACGCAAGATAGATAACAATTTTCGTTGTGGAACAAATTACGCTCTATGTACTCGTTATTTTCTTAGACTGTAAGACCAGCAGCAAACTTGTTAAGCATCCAACCAAGCGGAGCTCCACAAAACACAAGCGTAAGGTCAAGTGAACCACACAAGCGAAACACATAGGCGAAACAGCTTTTAATTATTCTCTTTCCTTATCATTAGAAAATCATTTTCTTCGCATGAATTACTTTACAGCATTTCCATGTGCAGCCATTTGAAGTTTCATATTCACATGAATCATATTTAAAAGTCACAGTTCTGCCAAAAAGGCGAATCAATGATCGCGATAGCTACATATTCGAATATATTACAAAGCAAGGTTGGCATTTTTAGGAGAAAAAATAATTGTAGTACACATGCACTCGCTACGTAACTAAGTTTTCTGTGGCGCAGCCGCAGTAGATGACCACAAAAAGGCTCGTGCATAGTGACGGCATTGATATACGAAGTGAGGCTGGAAGTCAACTCATTGAGGGCTGATTTCGCGTAACTCTACAAAACGCTGGGGTAAGAGAACACGGCCGCTCCAGGTAGACTTTTGGCACCGTTTTTTCGTGTTTAGGCCACACCCCGTAGAAGATCCCGCCTGCTATGGGGGCACAAGCGAGCGCCGAGCGTTGCCGCTTTAGAGCGGCAACCATAAGCACCCCTCCTCTCTTGTACGCTAGCGAGATAAGCGCCCGCACAAGCGAGCGCGTCTGGAAAGGCGATGTTTGCTCCGCAGAAAGAAGAGGCCGGCGCGACCTTCCCCGTATATTCATACATACATATACGTGAATGACGGCGGTGGCGGGGGTGACGGCAAAACCAGCCGAGACTGTCCATATAATTTCTATCGCAATAAAAGAAGTCGGCCTTCAGTATCCATGCGCTTATCAAGACATCAGTATTCTTCACCTCCTGCATTGCTTTCACTGTACTTTGGCGCTATTCAATCGCATATTAACTATGGCATAATCACTTGGGGTAATACCTTTTGTTGTTATTCTCATTTACCGTAGCATATACAAAATCAAGTCATCATAACTTACAGTTATTTGCGTTCAGATGCCTTTAGCTGGCTTAATAGGCACAAAATTTTATCTGTTGAAAACTTCTTTCAATATAACATAATGATTTGTGTTACTTAATTTCCAGCTCTCCTTTGAATATATTGAGTACAGCTCCCTCAAGAATACTAGCCCCACCAGGTTTGCTTATATTCATGATTACTTGCTACTACCATCCGCACAAACTACAGTTAGAAAACGTCTAAATTCTCTACCATTGATCTTTGGAATAGCTTGGCGATTCACCGCAAGTTTTGGCATTTACTTTTTTTCACTGGTCCTAATTTATTTTATATGTGCTTATTTTTGTTTGCCGTGTAAAATTTTTAATTTTTTCTTTCATTTTCATTTCTTTTATGCGCATTTGCACTTTCATTCTGTGTTGTTTCTGTGTCTTATTTGACTTTGCACTGTATTGCTTTTCATAGTATGTTGCACATTGTGCCGTTCATTTTATTGTATTTCATTTTTTAATTTTAAAATTTTCTCGCATGTTGCTGATTGTTCTGCCTTTTATAAAATTATTATTGCCATTTGCTAATCTTCTGTTCAGAGAAATATATTCTCACGAACAGTGAACATCAATTACAGTCCAACAGAACAACCCGACAGAACACAACATCCACACACACACACCAAAAGCTGATTCAAAAAGATATGTTTACATATGTACACGGAAAACAACATACACAGATACACAAGAATTCCTACAAAAAGATATGTCTACACATGCACTGAAAATTGTTTTCAATTCACTTTTGATGTAGTTTTAATTGAGGGTTCCGTTTTTAGTATTCATTCTCTGGGACCCTCATCTGTATAAAAGTGCTGTTATTTCATGCTTGCGTTAGTAATAAACTGAAATCGAAGGAGCGTTTCGCTCACTAGATGGCAGGTTGTTCCAAGACGCTCGCACAATATAACCATAATTGAGGGTTTAACGTCACAAAAACAACGATACGATTATGAGGGACGCCGTATTGGAGGGCTCCGGAAATTTTCTCCATCTGTGGTTCTTTGGCGTGCGCTGACAGCGCACAAAACACGGGCATTCAGCGTTTCACCTCCATCGATATACAACCGTCATGACCGGGATCGCACCCGCGACATTCAGCTCAGAAACCAAGCGCCGTAACCGCTGTTGCAGAACCACGCATACAGATGTAGACGAAGGAAGGACGCCTGTCTTGTTCGTTCTGCCTCCGTCCCGGTCTATGAGCACTGTAGCCTTTTATTATACCTCGTGCTTTGACAACGTTTGCTTTTGGATTTCAAAAGAGAGATGGGGGAGCTGCACAGGGGCATTAGGTTCCACACCTCTCGTGCTACCTCTGGCGCCAACCCCCGTACACAGTCCGATGTGTGTTTTCGTCACATGGTGACAGAGAGACTCAGAGACTATTTGGCGAAAGAGACTGCGCGCTGTCATCTCTTCCAGAGCGCGAGAAAGGCGATGCGAGTCGTGTTACACCAGCTGATACGTTTGTAAACGTTAAACCCGCAAGTTGAACATTCACAACACCGACGAATGCGGACGCACCGACGGCATCCGATAGCTTTGCTGTTGTTTGTAAAGATATCGCTATCAAGTTCTTCCTCCTAGCGCATTCCCAGCGCACAACGTTACGCGTCATGCGAGAAGCGGGCATCACGCCAAGAGAAGCGACCTCGGTGAAGTTTAAAAGTTGGTCACGAGGTGACAGTTTACTCGCAAGAAAACGTGGAGAATGCAGCCACAGCGCCAGAGGAAGATCTAGACAAAATGGTCGTGTTTCTTCCTCAGCTCCACGAAGTCGACTGACACAGACGTTTCATACAGTTAATGCACTTCTTTCTTTTGCCGCCCCCCCTTTCCCCATCAAAAAGAAAAGCATGGATGATCAAACCATTATAAGAATGGGGATAATAAAAACATTCGGCAGATCCCACGTACCTGGGAGTTGATGTTGTGCGAAGCATGTGGAGGGAAGCTGACCGTGTTGCAAGTTTTTATTGAGCGATGCGTCATGATATGCCGCTAAATATGTACAATGTTGCACGCACAGCCATACGCTGATGAGTTGCAGATGTTTATATAACCAGTTGTTTGCACATGCGCAAGAGTCCAAGTAGAACATGCGCATTAGCAACACCAGACGCTGATATGAAACGCTGACTTTTGCGAAGATGCTGGCCCTGGACACTGCCACATAAATCAACTTCAGCGCATAGAAACTAACCACAATTGACGTTAACACGACGTGAAGGATGTATAAAAGGAGTACATATGTATGTTTATAAAATTGTGTAGGCAGCACTGCAACCACAATTGACGTTTCACGAAGATTAGCGTCTATTTTAAAAGTAGTTCGGAGACCTGGCGTAGCTCTGGGGTAAAATCCTTTATTTCAACACAGAATGCTTGGGGTAGATTCCAACTGGGACCCTGACATTTAATCTTTGAATTCGTCGGGTCGACGCTACCGATGTCGGGTACTTCTTAATGTTCGCGCGTTAAAATTGCCATTGTGTGTTCTCGTCGTTCCTGGGTAGATATATCACCTGTGGCACATACCCATGCACATGGCAGCGGCACATACCGGCCCGTGGGTATGTGCCACTATCTGGCGGGAAGTGTTTCATGACTTAACACGCGACGGGATTGTGACATTATTCATGTCTTGACCAGCGCGTCATAGTCGTCAAACTATATCATCCTTGCATGCTAATTTCGGTTCCCGCCAAGTTAAGGGAGTGATTACGAAAGCACCCAAACGTGAGTGGCAACATAGATAGATACGCTCAAAGTCGCCGAAGCTTGCTAAGAAATGCTTCGCATTTAATACGAAAGTAAAAGGTGACCTTTCAGAAATGGTTGAATATTTATTGTACGATGACATAAGAGAGCACGCACAATACCTATTGGTATTTTATCGTGAATACACCCATGTTGACGACCGCTGGTAGATCTCTATTTCCACGACTACCATCCATGATAAATGACGAAAGAAATCCTTATAGTAGCTGTAGTAAGCGGTGAAAGCGTAACCAGAGAAAGTGCACTGACTAGAAGAGCGTCGGTGGTTGACGCCTAACTTAGGCTAACGTCGCCATTCTAAAAGAACTTGTCGTTGGGCTAGTTGGTATAACATTTTGAAGAATAGAGTTTTGAAGAATTTAACATCACGGCAGAACTATAGTGGAAAATGTAACGCACATCTTGTCTCCCCTGTAGCGCGGCCGAAATTTCCTGGGGATGAGCGTAAGCACAGACCCGCATATATTTGAATAGTATACGCTAAGTTCGCGGGCGTTGAGTTTGCGTATGGTTACTATACGAGTTATCGAGTAGCGTTTGTTCCCCGCAAATACTGACGCACGCTCTAGTCATCGCAAAGGGGCCTTGCGGGCCGCACGCTATTTCGAATTTTTTGTGAGCGGACCGTAAACGTTAATGTCGACTATCGTTATGATGCACGCGCAGTGGCAGCGACCGCAACTGATAGCGTTTCCGTACGCTATTTGACAGCTCCCTAATAAAGCAATCGCGTTCGCTCGTTTCGCAGAAATTCTCATGCCGGTTCGGATGTCGGCATTTGCGCCAGCGTCGTCGTGTGTGGGCGAAAAACCATCGCTTTGTTCGTGACAGAAAAATCGACAAAGATGGAAATAAAATAAATACAAAATTCGGATCCCGAGTGTGGGTCGAGAACTGTACGTATGCGTGGAAAGCAGGTGTATTGGCACAGAGCTGCAATATTTGTTGAAACTACGTTGAAAAAAAAAAAAAGAAAAATGAATGTCACGTAGTATAGGAGAAGCGTAGAGTCGCGTGAGGCGTCAAAAAATGTGAACTGAGCAACATGCGGGTGTTTTAAAGGCCCAGCCGTTATAAAGCGCTCAGGCACATTTGATTATCATCAGCAGCTGAAACATCGACAGAATGAACAGCTGCGTAGATTCCCGTGAAGTCATTCCTACGGATGCGTAGCGGAGCCTTCGCCGATCCGCAAAAGAAACGATTATGACGTAATGGGCACTAAACTGCGCTTGCAATAGGCATTCAATGACACTTTAAACGACCAATGTTAGGCGCACAGTCGGTTCTTTCCTCACGGCACAGTTGAGGCGTGCACCGAAAAACGAAGCAGGCTAGCAGTAGAGAAGGTGATGCGGACGCAGCCCAGTTACGCTATCGCGATAAGCTGAAGAATCCTCCTTTTTTTCTTTTTTTAAAATAATCGCTCGAACACTTCGTGCAGTTGGTTAACCAGCGAATCGGAAACGTGCGGCCCCGATGTTTATGACTGGGCTAACGTCGGTGGTTCTCTATAAACCCGTCTAATTATTGGTTACGTCTGCCTGTTACTCTTAATTGGCGTCATCCGCCCGCGTGCGCCCTTTTGCATTTTTAGCTGAACAGTGCTCAGTACTGAGGCTAACCCAATTTTCGTTCCACGCAAGCGTAGGATGGACGAATCTAAATTTCACTTAGTGATATACGACTTCGGCTTAAAGTTAATAACCACGAGGCGCGCAAGCAGCCGAGATATGCGTCTGCCGGCATGGTCAATTGAATACGAAACCTCGTGGCTTGAAAGTATTCTTTAAAAAATAGGTGTAGCATGAAGTAACATTATCCAATATTCATAATACCGATGCGTATCTTCATTGAATAACTGAAAGGATTAATCTTAGAATTCATCGTCAAAAGCAGTATCGACGTTATGAGATGGCGTAACGGAAGACTCCGCACCTGTTTTCATCAGCGCACATTATTACCGTGCATGCGCCCCGCCGCGGTGGTCTAGTGGCTAAGGTACTCGGCTGCTGACCCGCAGGTCGCGGGATCAAATCCCGGCTGCGGCGGCTGCATTTCCGATGGAGGCGGAAATGTTGTAGGCCCGGGTGCTCAGATTTGGGCGCACGGTAAAGAACCCCAGGTGGTCGAAATTTCCGGAGCCCTCCACAACGGCGTCTCTCATAACCATATCGTGGTTTTGGGACGTTAAACCCCACATATCAATCAATATTACCGTGCATGCAGAGCATCATATGCAAGCGTTTTCACATGCCGTTTGTCCTACGTTAAAGTCGAATACAATACTACGCTGATAGCAGTGACAGAGGTCACTGTCGTGACGCGTAAACGATATTTGGCTAATGATGCAGCGTTTCCTTTGTAAGGTTTGAATTTTCATCACAAAGGAATTGTCACAATGTCTCACTACCTACAGTTTTATTCGTTCTAGCCTGAACCAACGTCTCAGGTTAGAATTGTGCATATCGAGGGGATTAAATGCCGATCAAGTCCACGTGCTTACATGGTGTGCCGGTGAAACCGGTGAACCGAATGAGAGTTCACGCCGTAAACTTGCACTCCTCATGTATCTTCTAACGTTAAACGGCAAGCATCAATGAAATTTACGACGAAACCCCTCAGGGAAGCGAGAGAATAAAACGATAGCAACAGCTGTCAGGGCCATAAATAAAATAAAACAGCTGGCGACGTAAAAAAAAACCCAAAATGCTACGCACCTTGGCCTATTGGGCATGCAGGGTATGTGCAGTTTGGCCGAGACAGCAACGAAGCGGGTGACAGGAACTGCCGGTGTTTTCGCGAGGCGCAGCAACGAAGGCGGAAAGGGAAGCGCCGCGTTATTTTAGCCGCGCGAGAAGCGGCCGACGAGCCCCGAGGCGCGACTCTGATTGGCTGGAGCTCGGCGAGCGACGCTCTTTCCCTTTTTCCCTTTCTGCAACGTGTTTTTGACGTCACGAAGCATTCACAACTCTCGACACAAACGAGAAGGGCGAAGAGCGTTTCACCGCAACGAGTGCTGCCCCCAGAGATCCGTTTTTAGATGCATGTCACAGAGGCCGTGCATAAACTCTTAATCGCTTTAGAATTTAGTTTAACGTGGCCGCTGGCCTAACGTATACCTGCAATATCAGCACACATCCGAAGCATCGTTCTCAAACGCCTGAACGCGTTCACGTGGAATTTCAGACTTCCACGTTGGTTTAAAAGTCCTATTACTGTACATTTTATCCACTTTCTTTTCGCGCTGGCAGTATGCTGGTAGGTTCGGTGCGTCGGCGTGGTGCCGAGTGCCGTGACGTCACAGCCCACCACTTTTTTTGACTAACTGAATGCGCTTCGCCGAAGAGTAGACACGCCGACTAGGCGGACACAACGAGAATAGCTCCCATGCGTTTCCACACATGTTCTGATACACGCCAATAACAATTTGTTTGCAGTGCGCTCCTGTTACACTGCCTGCAGTGAAATTACGAAGGGCGCGGCATCTTGCCGTCTTTTGTGGCTGTCGATAAAACCGACCGTCACGGCAGATGCTTACCTTGATATGCTCCCGATCCTACGCCGCCCGGAGGAGGAAAACGGTGACGCTTGACGAGCACAGCGTCGTCTTCGTTTCCGCCGCTGGGAAACAAGCTTGCGGCTGATGGAAAGCGCAGTTAAAATAAACACAATAAAGAAAAGCGATCTCGACGCTGCCATCTGGTGGCACTAGAGAGAGCCATTGTAAGCGGGACGCAGCGTTCCGTGACCGCCGCCAGCGCAATGTTTATCTCGGAGGTCACAGTGCCATTCAGAGCCCTAACTGCGCGCCGCGTTCTGCTCAATATAAATATAGCTCGAGTGGGATACTTCAAAAGATAAAAACCCGTCTCCCAACCATACGACGACCTCACAGTAACGTGGTGACAAGTCTCGTATGAATATTTCCGAACTGGTATTATTCTAAACTAGGGGAACGTATGGAATGGAGAAATATAGGATGGTTTAAAAGAAAACCAGCAGTAAAGAACACAACTCAAGGGCACTAACAGAATGTTTTACTATTTTATTGTCTATATCTGCAATTATTTATGTTGATTTTATTCACTATTCATCCTGAGTGCTCTTGATATGTCTTCATCCCTTAACTCACCCATTTTTCCGAATTTTAAGGAAGATCATGTTCCAACAACTACACCTCTTCTTTATTGCGTTGCGAATCTTGAACTTATCATCACAAAGAAGAAAAAAAAAAGACCAAGGATTTTGTTATTCGCATTAGGCCATTCAGTGACTGACGATTTCCTCTTAAGTGCTCCATATTACGGGAAAAAAGTTGTTTTATTATTCAGTGACAATTCCTAAAATGAAAAGCAGCATGGCCCAACTTCGTTATGGTCCTACTGGGAAGCTGAAAGAGAGAGAGAAAATTAAAAAAAAAATATTATGTCATTCCTTCCTTATACGTTCAAGAATTCTAATCTTATTCACTGCATCATTTCAATATTAAGTATACGTTCATAGCATGTGAAGAGAGAAAAAAAATAAGCAGTGCATAATTCAAGGAAGGTTTCTTCTCCGTAACCGGAATGGCAAACTTGGAAGTACTATGCATTGGGCGCCTTTCATGAAAAACCTTAACTCGACACACTTAGTGAGGATTACACACAACACAGTGCCTAATAATGAAATCATAATCTGGCTTGCAATGCATTATTTAAATGTTGTCATTTAGCCACATGAACAGCCAGCCCGATAGCTTGTTTCATATTCCCTTCTTTAGAAAAAAAAAAAACACACAGTTTCCAGCTGCTTGCCACACTTTTGCCTATTTATAAAAACAGGAGACGGATTGGCCGGCCGTCGTGGTTAGCATTACGTTCAGCGTCAATTTCCTATTGTGAAAATTCTAGCGTAATAGATATTTTTGGGAATACGGGCCAGGCTGTGAGATTTATTTAGTAGTGATTCGAGCGTTACAGCTGCTTCTATAGGCACCAACATCCCCCCGGAGTCTCTTTAATAACGAGCATTATCTGCTTGTTCGGCGTACTATACAAGGCCTAGGTAAACGTCGCTAAAACTTGGCGTGTTCTCAGCGTTTTTTATTTGCATTAGAGATACGCACTATCCCGAGTACATAAGCAGCACACTCGAACAAATTCGTATGCGTTGCTCTTGTGATTGCACCATCGTCTTCTTTTTATTTACAAACTCACTTTTCAGCAGCGAATTCTGTGTCGATATCATTACAAGATGGTTCGACTCCATTTCTAATTGTGCTGTTTCACAGAATGTAAGGTGTAATAGTTCTGTACACTGGCATGTACACAGTTGCTGCCTGCATGAAAAGCCACGCTGGAAAGAACTAGCATTGTGAGCCAGGCGCACAATTACATTATACAACACACAATTGCTTTTACAGTATATGACATAGTGCCGCGCTATTTGTGATCTTTACTATAGATATATTTTTTGAAGCTTGTGCATATTTTCATTCTTGCTTATGGAAACTGCAGTATCAATGTCTGTCTAGGTGAAACATGGAACAGTGACTATAATGCTCGGCAACTGACCCGAGGGTGGCGGGTTTAATTCCGACCACGACGGTTGCATTTCGATTCAAGCCAAGTGATAAAGGCCCGTGTGCTATGCGGTATCAGTGCACGTTAAAGAACACTAGATGTAGATGGCCGAAATTTTCAGATCGCTCTACTACGACGTCCCTTATAATCACATTGTGGGTTCGGGATGTAAAACCACAGATGTTATTAACGGCGGTATCAAAAAAAAATATTAAACGACTTCTAACACCTCAGGAAGCGCCTTATGTTCTGAATAAGGAATCTGAAACTTTATTTATTGATGTCTGCTTCGTAAAATCAGTTAAAAGGTGTACGAAACTGTGCAGTCTTCACATTCTTAACAAAAATACATTATTATTGTAGAACTAAAAACTAGACGAGAAACAAACGCAACTGAAATTTCATCCTTCCAGCTCCCTATGAGTCTTCAAAAATATGATATAGATTTATTAGTGTAGATGCTGTTCGAGTTATCTCCAGTAATTTCTACCTACTATTTCGCGCTGTTAAGCGATCAAAATGTTTGCAAAATTTTCATATCGTCTGCGACATAGAGTCTTGACTCATTATTTCAAGCTTCATCACCCCAATTGTAATGCCAGTGACCTTGTCTGGGTGAAATAGCCGCGCAAAAGTATCTGAAGAGAAACGCATAGAATTCCCCATCCAGATAGTATATCTGGGTCTTTCTACGTCCCCAAAACCAGGACGTGATTATGAGCGACGTCGTATCGAAGGGCTCCGAGTTTTCCAACCTAGTCGCCCTCTGCCGAAGTCACTGCCGAGATTATGCGATCAGTTCCCGCTGTGAGTAGTTCCAATCAAAGCAGAATGCGTGAGAGGAAGAGTGAAACAGAAAGAGGAAACGCCGTTGCAGTGACTGGAAATAAGAGATAAAAAAAGTATTCTTTACTGTTCTTCCAGGTTTCCAGTGTACACGAAAGCGGTCTTGCACAGTCTTGCTGTACAATGTGAAACAATCCACATATCATTCCCCACCATTCGGAAATTGTTCCACATTGCAGCGTGCGTGTTCATTTCGCAGCAATTGGTGTTTCACGCCATGGTTTTGCACATGTCTGTCATCACATCAAGGGTGTTTTTTATTCTTTTACCTGCTAGGTGTAGCGAAGTCATGCTCTTACTGCTGTGAGAACACATCCCGATATTGTCTCTCTAAACATCCAACACGCGAGGCCTTAAAGCAAGCAAAGTACTTTAATTTACGCTGTGAGAGGTTGATACTGTTTCTGATTGTTTTCTGTTTTACGCAGGCTCTTGCTGGAGAGGAGCTCATAAAAATTCGTAACATCGGCAGCTCAAAATGATTGAGTGAAATATTTGTGTTAGTGTTTCTCGCTTCACCTTGCTGTCGAAATGAAAATAAACGATAGCGCTATTCGCCCATTCACAAAAAATATGAAATTCCTTTTAATTGATTGATCCTTTAAGCATTTCCTTGTCATTCAAAAGTTGGATTATATAATTAAGACACAAAATAAGGTTTGGTTGGCTTTAAGCTTGGTAAGTAAAACGTCACGTACGTGTGTGCGTGTGTTGTCATTGAGGTGTTTCCGAAAGCAATCCATCATATTAGAAAGAGCACCGCGTAAAACTTAGGAAATTCATCCGTAAACGATGGAGTTCAAGACTAAGAAGACGTCGCGAAAAAGCCACACCCGAATGCACAGCCTTTCGGGGCCCAGCAATAGTTAGGCAGAAATTCACTTGTTTTATGGACACATTTGTGAGATTGAATGAAAATTAATTCTTATCTGTGTCTTGTGACTGTTAGACATAGTAACACTCCAAGCAGCAGTTTGCGCCACCCATGCCTTATGACGATGCTGGCGAGTTTGCCTTTTCTCCCCGCAAAAATATTCAGGTGTAATAGTTCAAGTCTCGTTCTGTTGTCTTTTTCATCCTGAGTTCCGAATCTTATCAAACAATATCAATTCGTAAACGTCCATGAACTCTTCCAACTCGCCACTTTTCTGCACAGAACAAGCGGATGAAGCCACGCATAACAAAGAAATTGTGTTAGTGGGCATTACATAAATAGTTAGGCTTGAGTAATTAGTTCGGCTACGTTAGTCTGTGCCAACGCAAAATAATTGTATTTTTTATTCCTTTCACAATATAGTTGCCAAAGAAAACCATCACAGAGGCCTCACTTCTTGCATAGAACCGCTGTATATAAAAGGTCAAAGTCACCAGAGGCATTACGCAGTGGCGTTACTGCGCTGTTTGCAATGCGATTTTTATGCAAACTTGCATGCAAAAAAATGTTTTTCTTTTCTTCACTTCCGAGAAGTCAACAAAAGAAGGCGCCGTTCAGAGCACTGTGTTGGCATTGTCATCGGCAGGCACATTTTTTCTTCTTGCACTACACCTACGACACACGTACGCCAGGCTATGCAGATAATCTGTCGTATACAGGAGTGCAATCACCGCCGTAGAGATAGGAAATCCCGGTGACGTTTGCTTGGTATGAACAGCTTTGACATCAGAGCGGGTTTCACATCGCCAAGTTGCTGGACGTGACATCGCTATTGTCTGTGTGGTATTGTTCACAATGTACTTTTTGTTTTGTTTCTGTCGGATTATTAAACAATATGACACAGCAGCTCTTGCCGTAACGGCTGCGTTAAAACTTATTCGGTTGGTCGCTCTACCTCGCTAAGTGTTTGTACATGGTGCCAAGAGGAGCGATCATTATGTTAGACTCATTTAGCCATTTTTTGGGTAATTAAAACGTAAATAACTAGCCCAACCTTTTTTGTGTGGTCCCCAAAGCATAATCGAACTTTCAAGAAGCACTGCATTTCCTCATCGATTTGGCAGGGCTGGTAGTAAGATTTTCCCAATTATTCTAATATTAAAAAAAAGTAACACATAGACATAACTTGACCCTACAAAATGCAGCTGCATTTGCTGACACGACACTGCCTAGGTAAACAAGCCAACGCCTGGTGTTCAGTGGTAAGTGTCAGAGTCTGCGTGTTTTCCTTCGTTGTTGCTCGTCCTGTGACACTATCCTATAAATAGAAGCCAGCCAACCGAATATATTTTTCTGCTATAGATGACTCGGTGAAGTGATACAGTTAAGAGTACTAATTTTCAAACCATTGGATCCGAGAAGGCGCTGAATCTTGAGTGATAAGTGAAGTTATCTAGTAAAACTCCGCAAAGCTATAGTCAGCGTATGTGCTAACCAATTAAGATTCCAAATTTATTATCTTTATTTGATTTTATTTATTTTGATTTGCTGGAGAGGCCTACTTGGCCCCAGAAGGAGGAACAGCACATGTGAAAAACAAAGTGGAAGGATGGCTTGATGAATGCAACGGTGCAGTCAAGAACTAATAAAATGCAATAATGGTTGAACAAAAACAAATACAATACTTTCATGATAATTGTAATGCTGATTGATTGATATGTAATGATGATTGATTGATAGAGAGGGCACGGTGGCATCGCCTCGAGCATGTCTGACTGCGCATGGCTGATCGTGCAGGTTCTTCTTGTCTGCTCAACGCAAGGGCCAGCTCTGCTGGCTGATCCTGGACAACCGCCTTGGAACAATGACTCGCCTAACACGTGGAGCACTTCGGTGCCACCGGATCATCAAAATATCAGCCCGATCACCGCCCTGACGCCCCCTTGGCTGCCCAGCCCGGTGACGTCGCCGCTTCCTGCTATAAAGCCAGTGGACATCGTTTACTGCATCAGAGGGCACGGCGGCATCGCCTCGAGCATGTCTGACTGCGCATGGCTGATCGTGCAGGTTAGTTTTTATGATACTTCCTTAGGAAAATGTACTAGTTACTATGGATTAGTAGTGCTGCCATGCCCTCGGCGTTGTCTCTGTATAGTTGCTGATTGTTGGTCTGTGCTACTTCTCGTATTGTGCGGGGACGTAGAGACGAATCCCGGTCCCCAGACCCGGTCCGCTGTTGACCTCAATGAGCATAAAGATGTGTTAAGTGCTATTCTTGAGAAACTGAAAGAGATAAAGACTGCCGCGAACAAGCGCGATGAAACTCTGACCCGTATTAGTTCAAACCTTGATGAAGTTCTGAAACTGTCAAAAGCAAATAAAGAAAAAATTCATACCCTTCAGCACACCGTTGAACAACTAGAAAAAACTGTCGCATTCAAGGCAAGAGGCTTAATGACTATGAACATAGGTCACGACGGAATGACTTAGTAGTCTATGGCATACCAGAAGGCCCAGAAGAAACCAGAGAAGTTCTTGAAGACTTAGTTGTCCGACGGGTTTGCAATGATGAACTAAAAGTCACTGTCACTTCTCTAGAACGCATTCACCGAATCGGTAAACCCCGAAATGATAAACCCCGGCCAATCATTCTCAGGTTGTACAATTACAACGAAAAAATAGCCATACTAAATAACTGTTTCAAACTAAAAGACAGCAAAGTTTCCGTGTCACATGACTACTCCCAGGCAACGCAGCACATAAGAAAAAAAAATTTGGCAATCTGTAAGTTCTGATAACAAGGCCGACAATAAGATAAAACTGGTTCATGATAAACTGCATATTAACAACGACATTTATGTGTGGGACGAAGCAAAAGATTGCCGGGTGCTCGTGCGCAAAGCTAAAAAAACGAGAACTGAGCACTAAACCGAAAAACACGAAAAAGGCGAACGAATGACTTCCGGATTCTACAAAGCAACAACCGAAAACACTGAGGCTCATTTCCCTTAATGTGCGAAGCTTATGCAACAAACAAGGAGAACTGGAACACGTGTTGTTAACATATGACCCGCACATAGCTGTCATCTCCGAAACCTGGCTTTGCCCAGATTTGCCTGATAATTACGTGATTCCGTCTTCATATACGTGCTATCGCAAAGATAGACTTACACGAGGAGGTGGTGTGGCAATTCTTGTGAAGGCGGGCCTTTCATCTGTTTCACTGCCTGCTGTTAACCCTGACCACGAAAGTGTCTTTTGTAAAATAAATATTTCAGGAAACCATATTGTTATTGCGGGAATTTATAGGCCGCCTGGAGCTCCCTGTGAATTTTCACTTGAACTATATGATCATTTGGCAGTGTATAAGGATCAGAACATTATTGCTGCGGGAGATTTCAACTTACCGCACATAGATTGGTGCTCGATGTCATCAGGGGGCACTGATACAAAGAACTCCGAAATCCTTCTAGATACTTTATTAGCTTACAACCTTACACAGACAGTACTATATCCAACACGGGTGACTAGCACTGCTTCCTCCATTCTAGATTTAATTTTGTGTTCAGCCAGCTTTACTGATCGTACCACAGAAATTCACGAAGGAGTCCCGGACCACAAGCTCGTATATTTTTCCTGCAAGCTTCCAAACCGAATCAAGTTAAACGCTAAATTTCTAAAAGTAAAAGACTACAACGCAGCAGATAACCCAAACATTGCCCACCATTTAGAAGAAGCATTACTGACATTTCACGATGATGATGTTAACGTATTATGGGCAAAGTTTAAGTCATGCTGCAATTTTTGCATCAATAAGTTTATTCCAGATAAAATGAAAAAAATCAACAAAGCCAATCCTTGGATAACCAGAGAAATTATACATTTAAAACTTAAACTAAAACGGTACCGAAAAAGGAAGAACAGGGATGCCGCCCTCCTTTTTAAGCTAAGTTCTAAGTTGAAATCTAAACTACGAGAAGCTAAAGAGCTCTTCTATTCAACCACCCTTGGGCGCTTTGCTACCGAATCCCCTCACAAATTCTGGCAATTTTTATCAAACAAGGACTCAAGAAGCGTAGATCAAATAGCTGTTGGTGCTCGCATTGTTACAGATAAAAAAGAAATTGCTGAAACGTTTAATTCCTATTTCCAGAGCGTATCGTCAAGGCCAGCCACGCTGGGTAATATGCCTTACGTCAACGATAGCAACCAATATATCCATATTACTGTCGAAGATGTTACTGAGCTGCTTTTACGATTAGACCCTAAAAAATCCGCAGGACCTGATAACATTCCCACCGCATTTCTCAAAAGATATGCAGAGCTCCTAGCTAGATTCTTGGTACAGTTGTATTCTAAGTCTCTTGAAACATCTTGCCTCCCACTTGAATGGTTGGTTGCCCGAGTGAAACCAATTTTTAAAAAAGGCTCTGTCACCGATTATTGTAATTACCGACCCATATCTCTCACTTGCACAGTTTGTAAAGTTCTCGAACACGTAATTGCTAAACACCTAAATGATTTTCTTGACAACAATAATTATGACAACTCAATTAGTAGTTACCGTCCATGAGATGGCACAGGTACTTGACGAGGGCGGACAGATTGACGCAGTTCTAATAGACTTCTCGAAAGCGTTCGATAGAGTTCCACGCTCGAAACTAATAACAAAAATGAAAAACTTAGGCATTCCATCACAAGTCGTCAATTGGGTCATTTCATACCTAACTGGCCGCAAACAGTATGTTGAAATTGACAGTGCCTGTTCTCGTTTTCTTGATGTTTTCTCTGGCGTCCCACAGGGTTCGGTCTTGGCACCGGTTCTATTTAACATTTATATTAATGATCTTGGCCAAATTGTAAAGCCCCCTCTACGCCTTAAGCTGTTTGCAGACGATTGCATCATATTTAGCCACGTAGTGTCTGCCGCTGACCAGCACGCTCTTAACCATGCTTTGCATGCAGTAACGGAATGGTGCAATAAATGAGATATGCTTATAAACCTCGACAAGACAGTTTACATGTGCATCTCCAATAAAGATAAATCTCACTTCATGTATAGTCTTGGCAATTATCAGATTAAACAAGTGGAGGAACATAAGTACCTGGGGTTAACCTTGACGTCCAGACTTAACTGGTCAACACATATAAATAACATATGTTCCTCCGCGAGAAAGAAGTTAGGATTTCTGAAGCATAAATTAGGTGATGCCCCCTCATCGCTTAGACTCATTGCATACAAATCCATTGTAAGACCCACCCTGGAATATGGAAGCATTGTATGGGACCCCCATACTATCACTAATAAAGAAAAGCTTGAAAAAATGCAGAGATTGGCAGCTCGCTTTATTTATAAACGTTTTAGACGTCGCGACTCCCCTTCGGCTATGTTGCAGCTCGCACACCTAGAGCCATTGGCCAACCGACGTAAAAGTGCCCGTCTAAACTTTCTACACCAGCTATATTTTAATAAATTGGGAATCCAGCCACAAGATTACATAGCTAATAACCCTAGTCGAGCGTCTCGTCACAAACATAGCCGAAGTATTACACCGTTCTTTGCCCGTACAGACCAATACAAATATTCATTTTTTCCCAGAACTGTTTCCGATTGGAATGTTTTGCCAGAGTGTTCACCCTTGCTGTCATCCAATGTATAATGATTGTATACTCACCTGTTGATTATGTACCCTCACATTCATGTGTCGATCTTGCATCCGTACGCATGTCTTTTGGATGTGTACATCCCTCTCCTGCTTGGACCTCTCAAGGTTCGCAGTATTGTACAAATAATAATAAATAATAATATGTGGGGTTTAACGTCCCACAACCACAATATGATTATAAGAGAGGCTGCAGTGGAGGGCTTTGGAAATTTTGACCACCTGGGGTTCTCAAACGTGCACCCAAATCTGAGCACACAGGCCTACAGCATTTCCACCTCCGTCAAAAATGCCGCAGCTGCAGCCGGGATTTGATCCCGCGACCTGCGGGTTAGCAGCCGAGTACCTTAGCCACTAGACCACCGTGGCGGGGCATATAATTGTATTGCTCATATTTAGTGAAATGAATATCAGCAAGAATAAAACACCAAATCTAACGAAATATGCTTTTCCAGAGATTGAACCAAACATGGTGACATAAGTATCACTAATAGATTCGGTATCGGTAATAATACAATATATTCGGTGTCGAAGTCGACAGGGTATTCGGTTTCGGTCTGTGAAACGATTCGCACCCAATTATAAACAAACAGGACGTCAACTCACCGCATAGACCCTCGTAGGCGGGTTGCGTCTTGTGCGGACAGCGATTCGAACAGCACGTGCCCTGGGGACAGCGGCTGCAAGCCTTGCCGCTCATGTACACGTGGCCTCCAATCTCGTTGCCCCTGCGTTGTTGCCGAGTGTACACTTCAAGTGGGTTTATTCATGAGGGCGAACGTCATCTACGTGGCCTTCCTCGCTGGGCTTTCGAGGTAACCGTTACATTACATCTCATTTACTCGTTGCTCACAGTGCAGATAACAGTAAGACTCTGATGGTACTGCCAGCCTTGGTTCGAGAAAAAATGCGGTACAGTAAAAGCGTGTTCATTCGAACTCGGTTAATTTGAACTAACGCCATATTTATGGCACGGCCGTGTCTATTTGTAAGGGGGGAAACTCACAACAGTTCGAACGCGTCGCTGTCTCGAATAGCTATTATTTAATTAATTAATTGATTGACTTAATTTGAACTGTGGGTTCCTCAACTCTTTCTCTACTCCTTGCAGAAGTCGATCCACACGGTCTAGCAGAAATTAATCATTTTAAATTTATTAAAGACGCAAGACACCGTATGAGTAGCATTTCTCAGCAGATGAGTATTTCGACGCAGCGCTCAAGCTCTTGGGCAAGCTGTAAACGATGCCAATGCAGTCGCGATAGGAGTAGCGCGAGAAAACGCACATTAATCGTTAGTTTTGATTTTGATGGCGTTAACGCAGCCACGAGGAAAAAAACGTATTTTAGCGCATAAATAGCTCTATATATGTTATGTTTATGGTGATGAACCTAATTTATCAAATCACCTGCCATAAACGTGTCCAGACGAGTTCGGAGGTGGGTTTATTGGATCATGTCTGCACAGCTTGGTGCGATGTTCATTCCTTCCAAACTCTTCACCCGATGTTACAGCGATGTTCACCCGCTAATTCAAACTTCTCTTAATGCAATCAGTTAGATATTCCCTTTTGAGATGAAATGAATGAGCTTTTTCTCTATTACGCGCATCAAATATAGGATTTAGCAATTTTTATGCAATTTCTTGAGAATTACACGTGAGGGTTGTGTCTAAAAATCAGTAATCTTTAGTGGATCAGGCTCACGAACACGACAAGACAATCGCCCGTCCCTTCACATAACACTCATCTGTAATCAGCATTGCTAGAATTGAAAGAAAAAGCTGAACCTGTCTCAGAATCAATAAACATAAAACACCTATTTGCTGGCTCTTCTTTTTTTCTTTTTGGTAGAAACGTTCAGACTGAATGAGTGATCATAGGCCACATGCTACGCGCCTGTGCCGAATAAATGCATTCTTCAAACGATCATGCGATCTGCTAGTAGCGGTGCGCTGGGATGTCGGCTGAGGTGAATGAGTGTAACCAATTAACTGTCGCGTAAGTTCACTCTACTTCGTACAAGGTGATCACGGAAAATCTGGGTCACTCTGTCATGCCAATGGTTAAAACACCGTCTTAGAGAGAAGTAAAGAAAAACCCAACGCACGCTGGCATGTAGTTGCAGAGGTACAAGCTGTTGCCGGTCTTGGCGTAACAGTCTTTCCAGGCACAGCCCACCTTGTTTGATTTGCTCCAGAGGAGCTGCGCAGGACACACACCATGCATGGTTAGATAGTGTGAGCGAAACAAAAGAAGCTGCACTACAAACCCTTGTCGGCGTAAGGAATAACTGCACAATCACAAAACAAAGTCCATTATTTAAATATATCGCATATTGTTAGGTTTCATTGCTAAGCTGACCATCACGTGGGCACAAACAGAGTCATAACGCAGGCTCACGAAAAAAAAAAACAAAAAATGGGACAAAACATATAGTGGTATAGTTGAAGCCATGCAAGTAAACGCGGTTATAAAAATGTGACACTTCAGGCACACCATCCAGCAAACCATTTGATGTGTACGTATATTATCAATGCATGCCATATATTTTACGAATCATAAATAGAAAATAAACAGACGAATCAGCAAGAATTTGGGAAACACGTTACTTCTACATTTCAGTTATAAACTTAACTTAATCTGCCCTCTACTATAGCAACATGCCTTTTATTCCTTGTCCTTGTTGTATGACAAAATACATAAAGTTTTGTAGTGGTGCATCTCTATGGGCACATCATATGTCGATATCTTATTCAAGCAGGACACAACATCGCTATACCTTCGATGACTTTGTCTGCTAATTATGAAGTCAAATGCAGTATAAGCAAGCTTCTTCTCAGAGAAAGCTGCGTAAGTAAGTTTCATAGATGATGCACAGGCGGCTGCACGAGCCGGCCGTGCTCTCAGTAGCGATGTACACTCATGTGCGCTTATGTCTCAAGGCCGAACGCCATCTATATACGAATGCCCGATGCGGACGCGCGAGGGTCATCCCTGCTAGCGAAAGCAGGAGGTCGGCCAGCATAGCCCACAATGAAAATACACGTGTGATCACGAATCGATCAACGCCAGACGAGAGTCTTTGTTGTTGTTGTTGTTGTTGTTGTTGTTGTTGTTGTTGTTGTTGTTGTTGTTGTTGTTGTTGTTGTTGTTCTGTGTGTGTGCGTGTGTATGTGTGCGCGCGCGTGTGTGTGTGTGAGTTATAGTTGTGGCGCAGTTTGTATGTGCACTTAACTTGAAGGTACGTGCCCGCGATTGATCAATCAATCAATCAATCGACCCATCAATCGATCAATCGGTCAGTCAATGTTTTGTTCTCATTTAAATAATTGTTGGTGTTTTACGTCCCGAATTTTCTATGTGATTATGACATACGTGGTGGTCGAGTTATCCGGCAATTTCGACCACAAGAAATTGCTTGACGTGTACCTTAATCCACGCATGGGAGCCTCTAGCATTTCACTTTCGTCGAAATGCCACCACCGTGACCAGGGTTCAATCCTGTGACCTTGGGGTATTAAGCGAAGCACCATAATAGACGGCGAAATGTTTCTCTTATTGCAACATCTCTTTTTTTCTTCAGGGCTTTAGCATGACAACGTATGAAAATAATAATCAAACGTTATTATAGTGTTCTATCTTTTGCACTCATGATTACACCTTTTTTTAACTAATTTTGCCCTCTGGAGTGCGCGTTAATTCGCCTAGTCGTTGGTTTCAAGATCGCAATAGTAAAAGCACCTAAGAAACGGTGTAAGAAAAGAATTTCTTTCCGATTTCAGATAAAGAAAAGGTGATTATTGTAAACTACTAACTCTTGTGTTGTGGTGTGCAGTTTAGGACGGTACTTATTTAAAATATTTGGCCAGGCACAGGGGTAAAAAGTGTTGAATGTGTGTGGGCTAGTGTTGTTCCCTGCCAATGCTACTATAGCTACGCGGGCGCATAAAACCGCAACCGTCCAGTTCATTCGGAATCATGATGCCCATCTTGGACGTCTTCGAATGCGCTTGTGTTCGACGTTGTTGTCCCTACGAAGACTTGTACCGAGACCGTCGTTGATGCGACGGCCTCAATGGTCGGCCTCTGAGAGGTATACCATAGAGAAATATAGTATGTTCCTCTATGTGTATACTGCGTGCAGCATCAAGGAGCTAAAAACTTCCAAGTCACCATGAAGAGCATGGCCTTCATGTCTCTAATCGTCGATGCTGGCTGCCTGGTGATTGGAGCGAGCGTGTTCAAGTCGTCCCCGTTGGCCCACAAGTGACGAACGTCGCCTGCTTGTTCCTGCCATCGTTCGTCTCAAACGAAGCTCTCGTCCAAGCGTTATACCCATATGGTATGGTGCTCACTGTCACCAGCAGTAAGAGCCAAACCTCATAAACGCGAAAATGCTCGCGACAGCGACGAGCGATGCGACGTAGATTGCCCTCGTGCGAACAGTCGCTAGCGCAGGCAAACCTCACCCACGCGACGGCTTCGGTGAGCGAACTCCACCGTTGCTTGCATGAGGCCGTCTACTCCTACCAAGAAAAGCGCGTAGTGAGTGGTATTCAATTTAAAAATAAGATATATTGTTGTGTAATCGAACTGAAAGTGTTTATTATTGCCTTGCAGAACTTTTTTTATGTGCATGTGCATAAATGACGTCACTCCTTCGTTGAGCACGCGTGACTCGGGAGGAGAGGAGAGTGAGAGGAGGTGGTGATTTCGTGGCACAGGAAGAGAACCGGCAGCAAGTCAGTCATTTACATTGTGTTCCGGTGCTTTGAGCACAGCACTTCCGGGTGATGGGCGACGGTTTCCAAATCTGCAGAACCGAGCGATTGCGTGAAAACTACCCCGTGGCACGTCGCGCGAACGTCCTGTTTCGTCGCTCAAAGCATCACTCGTCACGGTCACGTGCATTTTCGTGTTTATGAGATTTGTCCTTAAGATGAGTGGGCGACGCGGCGTACTCCCTGGAACGCGGTTTGTTCGAATGGAGATGAACGCCGCTAATCCTGTTCCGAACTACCAGCACATCGCCGGTCACCGTGCCACGTTCGATAACCGTGGTCTCCAGCGTGTATATCGAAGATGTGGCTCACGGGACCATCCACGAGCCCAGTGCACAACATCGTGTTGTGGTCGCTGCGGTGTGCACGGTCGCGTTGGTGAAGGATGTCACCGCCCGTGCCAACGTTGCGAGGACGGCCACCCAACTGTTGTTTGTCCTGGCCGTCGCTCTTAACTCAGACGCTGCCGCTGGTGCCTTTCCACCACTGACACCGGCAACGAAACCAACCACCGACTCGAGGGACGTGGAGGAAGTCATGGACGCTGTGCTGGCCTCGCCCCTTCAAGTTCCTTTGGACGAAGCGCACAACGAAAGCTCGATTGTCGATGCGACGCTCAGCGCGTCGGCCTTCCCGCTGGTGCAGGGACCATGCGCTTCGAAAGACGCAGCGCACAACCCTGCAAACGGCGTCGCATTCCTTGTCTGACGCCACTTGATGTTCAGTGCACAAATGAGCCCAATTCTCAGGCTGCTGCTGTTAGAGTTTATCTTACGACACCTGTTATACCGGAAAACAGCGCGGAAAAAAGCACAGCCTCTTACGTTGCTGCTACTCCGACCACTTCGACGCCACGACGTACACGTAAAAAACCGCCTACACAAACGGTGCCTACACCGGCCTGCCGAGACGTAGACAGTGCTGCCAGCATCAAGGACGTGGATCCAAGCTTGCCGGCGGTTCAGTCCCTACCTCCACTAGACACGTCTTCAGAAGACAGCTTCAGCCTAGGACTGGATGGTAGCATCAGACTGTCTAGCCTTGGCGAAGTCGACGTCGAAATGGGAGCTCCCCTTCAAACCAAGCGAGGGCACACTTCCAGCTCTTGCTCCGATAAACGCAGTGATGGCCGTGGTAAATCCCAATGGTCCAAAAAACCTCGACCCTCTTCTGGAGGGTTGAACACTGCGCTGTGATTTGTTTGAGGAAGTGTTCCTGGACACTTTCCAGGACACCGTCTAGAACTATGCGTCCAGGTTATTCTTTACTTTTCATTATGGCTACTACACTGCATATTATTTCATAGAACGTTAAAGGTTTTCGCAGTCCAGCAAAACAGGCCGAAATGAAGTGTTGCCCGTGCTGCGAATTGTGATGTTTTGTGCCTGCGGGAAACAATTTTTTTTCTCATATCCGACGTACTTGCTTTTAAACGAAAGTTCAACCTTGATTGTTATTTCTCTTTCGCTTCATCTCGTTTTACGGGAGTAGGGATTATTATTTTTAAACGGGCTTCATTGCGGAATCATCATGACTTTTAGGATGGTATGGATAGGGTTTTAGCTTTTGACTGCAGCTACTTTTCTTTTCAGATTAAGGATACTGTGTGTGTATGGGCCATCACATGCTGAACAGTTCAACGATTTTTTCAGAGACCTGGATGAGTTTTTTTTTTTAAATCCGAAGCATTTCTTAGCGAACTTCAGAGGCTTTGAGCGCATCTATCTATCTAATCTATCTATCTATCTATCTATCTATCTATCTATCTATCTATCTATCTATCTATCTATCTATCTATCTATCTATCTATCTATCTATCTATCTATCTATCTATCTATCTATCTATCTATCTATCTATCTATCTATCTATCTATCTGTCTGTCTGTCTGTCTGTCTGTCTGTCTGTCTGTCTGTCTGTCTGTCTGTCTGTCTGTCTGTCTGTCTGTCTGTCTGTCTGTCTGTCTGTCTGTCTGTCTGTCTGTCTGTCTAATCTATCTAGCAGCCCACGACTTTTAGCGCTCCTGGCCATTTCACTAATGGTACCAATACCAAACTTGGTATGGAATAACATGACTGCATGAAGAGCACATTTGACTAGTCATAACATGACAATCATGATATGGATGACACGAATGCGATGATTGACATTTCATGGTCCTGCAGCTCTTGCGGTGATTTCGTTCACATGACATGTTGCAAAACTGGCATGGTATGACATGTTGCATGGCGAACACAAGCGACAGACCCTAACATAAAAATCATGACATGCGTGTCATGTAACAACATGACTACATGCCTAGCTGTGATGTGCTCGCGGCCATTTTGCTAGTTTCGCTTACGCTGATTTTGGCATCACGGGACGCGAGTGGATGACGAAGGTATGATACTTGTGAAAACATGATAAACATGAGATGCATGCCA